CTTGAATATATGGCTCATTATCTTCATGTTCACTAGTATGTAGTAGTCTTGCAAAGTTTATAGAGGTAAAACCCAACTTATCTATCTTAATTCCTCTTGGGTTTATGGTATTAGCCCATTCACATTTAAACATGGGCACTGTGAAGCCATCATAGGAAAGCACAATAATATCTATTAATCTTCCATAGTAAGGGACCCCTCCAAATCTCATTTGGGTATCACTATTGCTTGAATAACTCCGTGTCCCAAACATGCCAAAAACTCCACTATTTTGAGTTTTTAAAAGATTGTCTCGTTCCAACGTTCGAAACTTGAATCCATTGACATTGAACGCGGTAAATCTTTTAACTTTATCAAAAGGTCCATGAGCAAGACTAATGAGAACATCTTTATCTGGCCCATGAATGTTGTCAAGATTGTTGCGAATCTATACATGATACAACATTCAATTAGTCTTGTTATTATTAAAAACCAATTCAATAAAACATCTACTTTTGTATGAAAACTCACACGATTGCTGAACCAATGCGCAAACTCCTTATGAACATTCTTGTCTATCTCAGTAGCACTTCTTTGACTGCGCCTCATTTGGTTTTGAGTAAAACTTCGGAACTGCCTATTTGATTATTCGATATTAGATGTAAAAAAATATTAATAATATAGATGAAACTACTTAAATGTAATAAAACTACATACTTTAGATAGTCGTCAACTATTGGACAGTTTGTTAAAACGTGTCTATGAGCCTGCAATTTTTCAGTTGGTGTTAGGGTGTAATAAGAAGATCCACCCACAGGTTTTCCAACTCTAGGAAATAATTCAGCTACACGTGAAGCAGTTTGGATATCATCAATAGGGTCGTCATCTACACGTCCAGGTTGATTCCATCTAGTCTCAATATTTTCTAGATATCTTGAACAAAATGTAAGAATCTCTTCAAAACGGTATCCTTCTGCAATAGACCCTTCTGGTTTTTCCTTATTACGTACATACGATTTAAGTTTTCCCAAGTACCTATCATTGAACCACAATAACACTAGTTAAAAAAACTTTCTACTTTCTAATTAAGTTAGTAACATTAGAACAAAATCACATAGTTTACCTTTCAACAGGATACATCCATCGATAATGAACAGGACCTCCAAGTTTAACTTCTTCAACAAGGTGAACAACCAAGTGGATCATAACCGTGAAGAACGAGGGAGGAAATAACATTTCCATATGGCATAAAGTGAGGACAATTTGGTTTTGCAATTTTTCCATGTCTTCAATTTTCAATACCTTGGCACATAATTGTCTAAAGAATGAGCACAACTCAATCAATACTGCTGAAACCTCATGAGGTAATGTTGTGCGAATGGCTAATGGTAAAAGTTGTTCCATTAATATATGACAATCATGACTCTTCATCATTCCATTCACCTTGAGATTTACTAAGTCAATGCATCTAGAAATGTTGCTTGAATAACCATCAGGCACCCTAATATTCTTTAAAGTCATTAAAAAATTCCTTTTATTTTTACCTGTTAAACTAAAGGCAGCCGGAAAAATTTTACCATTTTCATCAGGCCAAAGATCAGGTCTTATGCCCATATTTTGAAGGTCTTCTCGAGCTTTATAATGGTCTTTACTCTTTTGCCTATCATTCAGTAGAGTAAATAGGACATTATCGCACACATTTTTCTCAATATGCATCGGATCAAGATTATGGCGTAGAAGATTATCTTTCCAATACGGAAGTTCAAAAAATATGCTTTTCTTTTTCCATTGTTGAGGATGACCTTTTGTAGGATCACATTGTGTACTATCACCTTCTATAGGTTGTTCCTCACGTGTTCTTTTTACTGATTTTTCTTTCACTGCCTTTTTACCAAAGATGACTTCAACATCTTTAACCTTTTCAAAAACTTCATGTCCAGATAATGTTCTCGGTGGACTCCGCATTTCTTGTTCACCATTAAATCGGATCTTGTTCAATCTAAACCTGTGTCTCCGATCAAGGAAACGACGATGACCCATAAAACACCATTTACGACTAGCTTTAAGACGGAGAGGTGTAGTTTGAAAGTTACACAATGGGCAAGCAAGTCCTGTGTATGTGTTCCACCCAGAAAGTGAACCCATCCCTGGAAAGTCACTAATAGTCCACATCAAATTTGCATGCAACTTGAACATCTCTTTCTTGAAAGAATCGTATGTATCCACACCACTTGTCCATAACTCCTTCAGGTCTTTGATTAATGGTTGTAAGTAGACATCAATATTATTTCCTGGTGCCTCTTTACCGGGAATTATCATTGACATTATAAATGATGTCTGCTTCATGCAAACCCATGGAGGAGTGTTATATGGTATGAGAACAACTGGCCAAATACTATTGTTTGTACTCATCACACCAAAAGGATTAAAACCATCACTAGCCAATGCAAGACGCACATTCCGTGGATCTGATGAAAACCAAGTATGTGTCAAGTCAAATTTCTTCCAAGCTTCTGAATCTCTAGGATGCCTCAACATTCCATCATTGTTAGTATCTGTTGCATGCCATCTCATATCCTCTGCCGTTTTTGATGACAAAAATAATCTCTGTAATCGAGGTTTTAATGGAAAATAACGAAGAACCTTGGCAGGAATTTTCTTTTTTTTCTTGTTAACAGAGACATCCTCATTTGTTTTCCATTTTGAAGTGTTGCAATTTTTGCAAGTCTCCCTCTCCTCATCTTCTCCCCAATAAAGCATACAACCGTTTGGACATGCGGGTATCTTTACATAATTCAAACCAAGTTTTGTGATTGATTTCTTGGCTTCATAGAATGAACTTGGAATGTTTGCATATTCAAATGCATCTTTTATTAACTCTAAAATCATTGTCATTGCCTTCTCACTCAATCCACATAAACACTTTATATGGTACAACTTAACCAAAAAAGATAGTCTTGAATATCGTCTACACCCTTCATATAAAGGTTGTTCTCCTTCTCTAGCCAACTCATAATACTCCTTGGCTTCGTTTCTTTCCTGAGTTGAGCTTGGCATCACATAATCTTCTTGTTCAATCTCCAAATTTGACGCAGATGGTATTTCATTTGCATGATTCCCATAAACTCCAAATGCATCGTTGATCATGTTCTAAATAGGTTCTTCGACAATGTTAGTATCTTCTACCATACTTGGAGTAGTACTAGGGGAGATAGTACTAGATCGTACAAAAGACTCTCCGTGATGGATCCACATGGTGTATCCCTGCGGAAATGGTGACCAACTTAAGTGGTTGAGCATGTCACTCCTACTCTTTAATTTTCTGAAACCGCAACGTTTGCAAGGACATATTACTACGTCGTTTTCTTTTTCACCTTTAAATGCAAAATCAATAAATTCTTGTATCCCTTTTTGATACACAATCGATGATTGTGGCTTAATAATCCATGACTTATCCATTTCTTCAAAAAAAAAATATATATTTTCAGAATTCTAGTACTTACGAGAACATGTTATTTTGAATATAAACAATAGAAAAATAAAAGAGATGAGTTTTATTATTGGTTGTTTAATTTGTTTTTACACACTACATAACAAGTTTATAGGTGAAGCCTTGTGATATCAATTAGTATAATACAGTTTCATGTAACAGACATATATGGATAAATACTTCATATCAATATGTTTACTACATTTAGCTAGGTACTTCAAGAATATTTACTTATGTTGTGTCAGTGTGCGAGTGCGACCTTAATATTGCTTTGTACTAGGATTTTAAAGTGCTTTTGCGGTCCCGTATGAATGCGATTGCAAACATTGCAATTTTGATTATTACAATTGCTTATAAGAATAATGTATTTGTAAAGGCACACTCAAATTTAAGATAAAATTCTTATAAGATAAAATTCTTTAGTCTAACACTATTAAATAGTGATATAGTAAAGGCACACTCAAATTTAAGAATGAAATCATACCTCAAAGACGCACGAGGGTTTGAAGAGCAGCGAAGCAAGTGGAAGAGAAAATTTACCTGCAACAAAAACCAAAGCGGCATATCAATAGTTGGTAGAAATCATAGATTTATCAAATAGAAATCTTATATTTTTCAACAGCTCATATCCCTTTAAATCCAACAAAAACATTATTATTTACATTTTTCAACAGCTCATTATTATTTATAACTTGGTACTGCCCTAATGATTTTCTCTTAAGCAATCAATGCAAGTCTTAGTGTATAAACAACGGCCGGTACTGTGCTCCAGACCCTCAATAGCATATATGATATAATTTAACAGAATTCCAGATTACTAGATCTGTTACTTATTGAAACCGAAAGCTAAAACAAAAATATACCCACATTATCCATACAAAGAAAAACATTGACAGTTTGTAAATCATACAAAACAGCAGCAAATTAGAGTTTCTGGCGCCTATAATAAGCTGATGGGGCTCTTCGAAACAGACTCGACAAAATTTGTGGATGGAAAGTGCAGATGGTGTTCAACGGCTCAAATCTTATTGATCAATAGGATCAAAATAGTTTGCAGGAATTTCCCCAGCAGTCAAAGATGCCATACTCAGAAACTGTTTGTAAAAAGGACAGTTAGATTAGATATCAGTGCTGGATTCAATAACAAACACTGACAAACTAAGTGAACACCGCTAAAAATGGATTCAATGCAGTCACATTAACCACACATTTATGCATTCAGGGCTTTAGTGACCCTGACTGATCTTGATTGAATTGTCAGTAAAACTCTGAGTACGTGAATGCGTGTGACTTTGACTACAAGGAAACCCAATCCACTATGTACCTTGGATTTCATGTACTTTTCCCGTACTGCTTGTACATGCCACTCTGAGATACTGGAGTGCATATCATGTATTTTCATTCGGCACACATCCTCTCTGATTCATAGCAGCAAGCACCTCAATAGCATCTATGATTCCTTGTACCTTGCACAATCCATAAATAACAGCATTGTAATTAATAACAGCAGGCTGATACTTGTGACTCTCCATCATGTCAACCAAAACTCAATTGCCTGATCCATGAATCCATCTCTGCACAAGTAAGAAATAAGTGAACTATAGGTGACCTTGTCAGGATCAATGCCTTTGCTTAACATATCCAAAATCATCCCCAACGCTCTAATTTCATCACCGCTGCTCCACAATGCACCAAACAATGTATTATAAGAAATTGCATCTGGAGGACAACCCACTTCACCGAGCTTCTCAAAGATGTTCAAAGCCTCATCAGCATGTCCATTCTTACATAGAGAAGCCAAGATCGAGTTATAGGAAACAATACTAGGCAAACCACCATCTGATATCATGTTATTTAAATACTCTATAGCCAAATTTACTTTTCCTTCTTTACAAATAGCAGAAATCAATGGATTGTAACAATAAGCATTAGGAGCCAACCCTCTCTTCTTCATACCCTTCAACACATTCTCAGCCTCGACAATTTTACCATCACGACAAAGTGAACAAATCAATATGCTGTATGTCACACAACTCGGCTCACAACCTTTATCCAACATATCAGACATCAAACTCTCTCTAGCTTCCCATTTCCCTCCTTTCAAAAGATTCTTCAACAGAATATTATAAGGACTCACATCAGCAACACAACCCTTACAACTTATACTACTAAGATACTCAAAAGCTCTATCCAACAACCCTTCTTTACACATACCTTTAACAACAACATTATAAGTAGACACATCAGGTCGAAGCCCTCTCGACAACATCTCATCCAAAAGCTTCATAGCCTTATCAATACCACCTTCAATAATAGTTGCTTTAATCAAAATAGTATAAGTTATAACATTTGGCCTACAATTATCTTTCAACAAGTGATCCATAACCCTTAAAGCCAAATCAAGTTTACCCCTCCCACAAAGACTCCCAATGAGAATATTATAAGTAACAACATCAGGTAAAAAACCTCTCTTTTTCATTCTATCAAGCACCTTATTGGCAGCATCAACTATATCAGCTTTACAGTACCCATTTAAAAGTGCTTCATACGCAAAAACATCAGCCTGGCCGTGCTTTTCCAAAATCTCCATGACCCGAATAGCTTTCTGGGTTTTCTTAGAATTGAAAAAACCATTAATCAATTTAGTGCAGAGAATGGCATCTGGTTTATAACCCCTGTCAACCATGCGCTTAAGAAAGCGGAGAGCTCGATTGTACTTAGCTGATTTGAATAACCTCAACCATACGCAGCATTGATATATATATATATATATATATATATATATATATATATATATATATATATATATATATATATATATATATATATATATATATTAATTTACAACTAACTAATCTCAGCAATATCAGAGCTAAACAAATCAATATGTCCTAGTAGTTGGCAGCAGATGTATTCAAAATCATAGCAAAACACAGAAACAGCCTTGTAATTATTAACGAAAGGGTCGTAACCAAATGCATATGTTAGTGTTCCATGATCTTGTGGAATTTCATCCTATTTGTTTACCTTTTTTTAAAGAATAAATTTCAGTCATTTAACTATTAAAATTATAAAAAAAAAAGAGTTAACAAACTACTAGACGACAAAAAAATAGAGTTAACAAACTAATAGACAAGACCATTATTGTTTGGTAGTGATTGAAAATTATGCGAATGCATAAGTTTGACAAGTATAAGGATACGTTTCACACATTAATTTGTTAAGTTTTCAATTTGAGCTTGAGAACATTGACTCAAAGATAAAATCATTCATGTTATATAATCCAATAGCTTCACAATAAAGCATTTGTATTACAGATTGAACCAGATTGAACCAGTGACCATTCAAATCTTCTCTTCAGGTTTGCTAGGTATTATTTCTCTATGTATGGTTTTATTTTACGAAAATTTGAAGTGTTTCAACGCGGTCTGGTAATTGAATATTAGTTGAACAAAAACAGATATGCATGCCTAAAAATTCAACTCATATTCCAACATTGTTTTTGTTGAACTGATGACACCGATTAAGCCACACCCTTGATCCAATGGACGACGTGGTCCATGAGTTTCTTAGAGTTACGAGTCGGTCTCTATAATTATATCTTTGATTAGCTTCATTTATGAACTATCTAGTTGAGGTGTAAGCAACATGGTAGACTTTGCATGCAATATTTATGAACCATATCATATTCTAATTTAATGTTACAGTTAGACTTTATTGCCATCACTGGTTATGACTTTTCTCTCTATAACATAACATAGTGAAGGTCACTGTTGATATCTCCAATGGATTCTCCAACTCATAAAGATACAGAAAGAAACCAGATATCGCCTTTAGATGATGAAGCACAAACACCAAATGCATACAAAGTTGCAATTCCTCCAAAACAGAACTTCATTACTGATAAATCATTGTTTAAGAAAATAGGCAATTTTTTTGATTTCACCAATTTATATTAGTTTTCATCGATTCTAATCGGTCCAGCGACATATTTAATCTAATAATCAAATCAAACCCTAAAACAACAAATTAGAAAACCTAAAAAATCATAAAAAGAAATAAAACCCTAAAACAACAAATTAGAAAACCTAACATCAATTCAATATATTCAAACTCAAAATCAATCATCAAAAAGAGCTCAACCATAAGATTCAAGTGAATCTCCAATGCTGAAATCAATGGCAGAGAATGAGAGAGATGAGAACAATGCAAAAAGTGATACATAAAACTTACTGTGTTTGAAGAGATGAACGCAGAGGATGTTAAACTGCTTGCTGTGCGTTTTTTGGTGTGAAGATGAGCGGTTTGAAGAGATTCCTTTCGGTGTCAAGGGGTTTCTTTCGGTGTGAAGAAGAACGGCATGAACGGCACCGTGAGTAGAAAAAGTGAACGTAGGAGTAGAAAGTGAATGGATGTTTTATGAGCTTTTTAACTTTTTTACGGCGACGGGTGTTTTACCGTCGTGCCCATGAGAATTTTAAAGGTTTTGGGTGCGACGGTTGTTTTACCGTCGTGAAATGAATTTTAAGACGGATAATTTTACCGTCGTGAAAGGTTTAAGGGTGCGACGGGTGCTTTACCGTCGTGATATGCCTTTTAGGACGGTTAATTTTACCGTCGTGACTAGTTGTTGGTGAAAAATCAATGTTAAAAGTGTTAAATGGGGGCCGACGGTTGTTTTACCGTCGTAATAATAATATTATGATGGTTAAATATACCGTCGCAAAATAAATATTAGGGACGGTTGGTGTCAACTGTCGTAAACACTGTCTCTATATGTCAATTACGACAGTTATCACATAACTGTCGCAATTTTTGTGTCGTTAAACACTAATTTTCTTGTAGTGTTTCCAGATTCGATTCCTGTATCTAGCTAGGGCACATCTGTGAGCAACCAATTGTAGATTCGATACCTGTATCTAGCCAGGGCATATCTGCATGAAGAGACTGAAGATCAACACATGTAACAAGCCAGGAAAACACCTTTCTTTCTCAAAATGCACAAGTTCTCGCTAAGGAATCTCTTATGCGATCAACACTTCCAAACGACATCTATAAGCCCATTCCCGCCAAGGTTCTGTCACGTCTCCAGATGGCATCTATAAGCCCATCCCCCTATCCACCATCTCTCCAAATGGCATCTATAAGCCCATTCCCGCCATCACATTGTTGATATTCTACCGTGCGAGTGCAAATTTCCGGGCACTCTAGTGTCCAATCTCCTTTTACCCTCGAGTCGCGAAAGGCAAACTTGCCAATCTAACTCTTCAGGTTCAAGAAGATTGAACAGGGGAAACTGTTGTACCCCAAAATTTTCCCTCCCATTTCCTCAGCATTTTCTCACCACAAGACCCTTGAAGCTCAAGATCCAGCTAGGGTTTCCTCAGCTCAAGACTTCTCCTTGCACTGTTGACCCAAATTAGGGTTTGTGTTTGCACAAAGATGTTTTGACCTAAAATGCCTAAAATGATTTTCATGCTCCATGTTGGACTCACAAGTTTATCCATACCAAGTTTCAAGCCTTGATTCCAAACTTTGCCCAGTCAATTGGACAGTTGACCTAGAAATCAGCTGTATTGGGGAAAAAGTCAACTGTGGTCAATTGACAGTCAAACCTTATGAAATTTGACCCACATCAACATGATGAACTCATATGAACCATTTGGTCAAGTTTGGATCACAATTCCACAAGAAATTTGATCAGATCACCAAAAGGGCAAAATGGTCATTTTTAGGGTTTTGACTGCACAAAGGCAATTTTTGACTGTTTGACCTAGCCAATGGCAAACCAAGCTCACATATGGACTAAAAGACCCCATGGAATTGTCTTGACATGTTCAACAAGTTCAAAAGATCCCAAATGCACAAGATTGACAGATGAATTTTCCAGTCAATTGATCAATTTTTGACTGTATACTGAAAAGTCAAACTTTGACTTTTTGGTCAAAATCAAGTGTCAAGATTCATTTTCCATCAAAACATGTCAAATTATGAAACTTGTTCATCAAGAAATCAAGATTTGCAAGTTAGGGTTTAAAATGAAGAATTTTCATAACTTAGAAATTTTTCTAAGTTATCAAAATCCCTAATTTTTTCCTAACTTTGTCCCACTTTTTCACCAAGATGAATTTGGATTCAAACAAAAGTCAAAACATGAAAGTTATAGTTCATTGAAAAATTTACAACTTTTATTCACAAAGTTTCCTCAAAAGAAGCTTTTAGCTCAAGTTATGATTTTTGGAACAAGGGTGCAAAACATTCTTAACTTAGAAAATTTTTGACCTACTTTAGGCAGGATTTTTGCCTAACTTCATGGCCACTTTTCACATGCTTCCACTTGGAATTTCAATTTGCATTACAAAGATGGATTGTAGTACACATTCCAAGCTTTCCAAAATGTCCAAGAACTCATCAAACAACCTTGTGGTTATGGAGAATCGAATTTGGCAATATGGGCAAAACTCACTTTGTTCATGGCCAATTTACATGTCCATAACTTTGGATTTTTGAACTCAGCATGCTCTAAGCTAGATTACAGGCCTTTTATCTCATCCACACTCAATAATTTAATGCAAAACCCTTGTTTTCAAGCCTTATCTTATGTGTTTAAACATTGCATACAAGATTGAGCCATAATTAGAAAAAGCAATATATCCATTTTTGAAAAGTTGAACTTTATGTCAAATTTGCAAATCAAGAAGTACAAGGAAAATCTCTTTGGCACAAGTTCAGAAGCATATCACACTGATCAAGGGGGATGGTTTCAGCACATTGGAGGGGCCTGCACAAGTCTAGAAACCAAGTTGACATTTTGTTGCTTAAGTGTGAAGAAACTTGGCATAACACACAACAACTCTTTTTTCTGCCAACACAAGCTAAGGCAAACTTGTTGTACACCTTCCAAACATCAAACCTAAGCTAAGGCACGAGCAAAACACCTTCTAAGCCTCATCAAACCTCAAAACACCATCCTACTGCAGAAAACAGAGTCACCTCTGCAGTTGGACTTCCATAACTCAATCCACTCGTGCATTCTTGCTAAAACCAATTCATACACACTCTATACCACATATGCAAGCTATCCCAAGCATTGGACACGACCTGTAACACCTCTAACCAACTTCACCATTTTCACTTTTTCTGTTTTGCAGGTTGATTGCCATAGCTTGATTCACTTGGTTTCAAAGCAAGTTAAAGGTTGGAATAGCATCCCTGGACTTCAAGCAAGCTGTACCAATCCTCACTTTGCCTTGAAAGTGCCTCCATTTCCAGACACGATCCAAGCTGAACATGTAAGTTCATGGACTTCTATCTCTCAATATAGGAAGAGTTAGCTCTAAGTTTATGAATGAAAAATGTTCTACTCATGGCCCTGAAGCTATACATATCTTCACTTTCCATTTATATTGCATATGCTGAGAGTATTTTGAACCTGAACATTGACAAAAACTTAGGTTAAGAATTAGGGATGGAGAAATTCTCTCTCATTTCTGAGAGTTAAGTTGAGTTTTTTATATGTATGGAATCGTGGCTTGATGCTTGACATCTTTCATGTTATAAGTTTGTGCTAAAAGTCCAGGAATCAGGAGTTATGTTTGAAGCAAGAAAGGCGCGCGTTTTTCCAACGTTTGTCTGAAGGTTGAAGACAACCTTTCTTGGGCTGGGCCTGAGATTGTTTTTCCTTTT